TATTTTTTTTTTTTGTAACTGTTTTATATATTAAAGTACCTGCCTTATTCTCAAGAGAGTCTTTGGTGGTCACTCCCACAAGCGATGGACACACACAAATATACAAGTCATACAGAAATAACCTCTTTAACAAAAATGCATACACCCAGACTCACTGACACAATAAATACACTTACATAGCCTGACTGGAATGATGTCTATTTGAGTCCTTACCTTGTGACAGACACTGTCATATCTCCATGAATACATACATACGTTTCATAGATTGCACCATGTTACTGGCGTGTGTGTTGTTATTTTTTACTTCGGAATATATTTTGAATATCCCTTGTATGATTTAGTATACTTCTACTTTATCACATTTATTTTTTTTAAGTTTATGTATTATTTTGAGAGAGACAGAGGCTGAGCAGGGGAGGGGCAGAGGGAGAGAGAGGGAGACAGAGAATCTTAAGCAGGGTACTCATGGTTCCATGCACAGAGCCCGACATGGGGCTTGAACCCACAAAACTGTAAGATCATGACCTGAACCGAAATCAAGTGTCAGATGCTTAACCAACTGAGCCACCCAGGTGCCCCCACTTTATTACATTTAAAGGCTGCTGCTTGTTATTGTACTTCATTGATTAGCATATTTACCATAAAATCTCCTGAATATTTGTATCGACTCAACTAAACTGTGAAGGACATTCTTTATATAAATCTTTGAATTACATTAGCATATAACCCAATAAGTGGAATTACTCGAGTGAATTATTGCTTATTTAAAATCTTTTTTATTAAAGTATGCATATATTTTCTGGCTTATTAAAAAAAATATTGCGTCCTTAATTTAGAAAAGTTATTTTCCTTTTCTTCAATTTCGAGACAAACTCTGCTTGGTAGAGATGTTATTTTTTTACTGTATTGCTGGATTCCATTTTTTAACATTTTAATTAAATCCCCTATTCACAAGAACTGATAACTGATACATGCTTTCCTATTAGTTTTGTGTCTAAATGATACTCCCAGTTCTTTTTACTTTTGCAATCTTTTATTGAAGTTTCTATTTTCAATCACAGAAAAAAGGGAGCACTCACATACCATTGTCTATATTGGACAAATTTCACCTTTTGCCGTATTTGCTTTATCTTATGTTTGCTGAAGTATTTTAAAGTAAGTTAGGTATATTTCACTCCTTAATACTTCAATATGTATCTCTAAAACTAAGTACATTCTTTAATAGCGCATCTATACTCAAATTCCCATAATTGTCCGCAAATGTCTTTTAAAGATTTTTTTTTTCCAAAACTAGGACGCAGTAAAGGACCACAAATTACATTTAGTAGTTCTATGTAGGGCCAGAACCACAGACCTGCCATAGTAACAATCCCCATACCCTTTGAATGGGATAGGTTTATTTACATTTTTATTTACAGGAGTGCACGCGAAGGATTATGGTAGACGTAGTCTTGAATTTTATTTGCTTACCCAGAAGTACTTGCGCCCTAGCCGTGGAGAGTGCTGCGCAGGCGCAGCTCCGCCATCTTCCTAGTACCCCTCCTACGCCTACAGGTTTAGCGAAGCCCTATATTCCGTTTCCAGATTTCCCAATAACTCTCAAGGTCCTGGTTGCCCACCTTCCTAACAGCAGAGGTTAGAGCGTGGGCCGGGTGGGAAGCGGCGTTGACCCGCGGTGGGGAGGAGCGGGACCCCAGACAGCGGGCAGGGGCGTCTAGGTCCGGACCATTGGCTTGGGTTCGAATGGCCCCCCAGCTCTAAGAGGGTGGTTCTGCCGGTGCGTCCGCGGGACGGGGTGGGGGGCGTGCGCATGCGTGAGGGTGCGCTCTGCTTGCGTGGAGAGCCCCGTGACTTTTGAACTTGGCTGACAGCTCTGTAACAAGTGCCGTGAACGTCATCACCTTTGTTTTTGTCCTCAGTGGCCCCAGTATCTAGAGGGACAAGAAGTTCCAAGAGGTGCGGATTTGGGGTCCTGGGTGAAGGTTCCAAATATGAATTTGCCTCCTAATCTTATATCCTAATTTCTAAAGAACCTGTGGGTTCTTGTGAGGTTAAAGACCTGGGTCTCCAGAAACAAATCGCATCCTGAAGAGACCCTTGGGACTTTTGATCCCTCCCCAGAGTTTCAGTCCCAGAAAGGGGTAGATCCTGGAACTGCAGGGCATAGCATAGGAATTTTTTGTTTTCCTGTTGCGTAAGGTGCCACTGTAACCGAACTAACCTGAGTTCACTCCTTGGCGAGTGACAGATGCAAACTACACCAGGTCGAGTCGTACAAAGGAAAATTTGCAGCAGATAAGGAGCTCATGAGGCATAACTTTCAAAGCCTTTTCTCCCTGAGTAAGGTTGAAGGGGTTCCTTTTATTTAGGGTTAGGATGAATATTTAGAAAGGGGATCTTTGTCATTGTATTGTAGATGGAGTAAGGTCCTGCAGTCGCCTTAAGGCAACCTACCTATACTCACACACTTTCTGTGTTATGTAAATGGTACTCCTATTTGAACCAAGATGTTAGTATTGTAATATGGTGGTTGCCGCACTTCTAGAGGTCACTCCATGATCCTGCCTGCTCAGGGTTAAGCTCAAAGTGGTCCTGGCGGTGTTGGGGCAGTTGGTATTGGGGCAGTCGCTATCCCTTGACAGGTGATTCCAATTTCCATTTGCCTGCGTTTAGAGAAGCTGGAAAGAGCTTAAGGAAAAATGTGGGACAGAGATTGGTGAGTACAAGCTGGTGAACAGTAAAGGTTAGGTGTTAGGGTCTAGCAGGTGACAAATCTCTCCTCTAGTTTTTTGTTTTGTTTTGTTTTGTTTTTTCCTCTTCATTCTTGAGGGGCACAGGGCAAAGGTCCATCTTCTGTAGTTGTTTCCTGGTGGACATGGGCTTGGTCATTAGGATTGTTAGTAGAACAGAATTTTCCCTTAGCTCATTTTAGATATGTCTGTGGATCACCAGGTTTAACCTCAAACTACTCATATATTTGTGTTATGACCATCTGTAATTTTTGGCCTTCATGAATTTGCATATGAATTGTACCAGCCAGTTAACTGTGCAAGGTCCAAACAGCAGTAAGAGCAGTCGGATTATTAGTGGCCACAAGAAAAGGTGATCAACAAATTAAGGTATACATACCATGGGTGTCCTGGGTGTGCACAGGCTTTGCAGGCTCTACTAAGGTAAAGCCAGTTAACCAGTTTTGGGCTCCAGGAGACTAGGGTCCATTCCCTGTATTACTTCGTGATTTACTGGATCTCAGGCCCTCATCCTCAATGCCTTGGTTGGCAAATAAAGCAGTTCCCAAACCCCCTAGGTCTGGCCAGTCCTGTTCATGCTCTCCATTTGATTTTTCCATGTCCCAGCAGTACTGTGATATTTCTTTTCTGCACACTAATGGGTTTTGTTTGGAGAGCAATCATCATTAACGTCAAAGGTAAAAGGAACTATAGTTGTTGGGACTTGGCTGTCATTCCCTATCTCAGGAGTATACTTGTAGCATGGCTTTTGCTTTGAGGTGGAATTTAAGTATCATGTTATCCTCTCTGCATCATTAATAACTGGAGTAAGGTGGACACTTCGAATTGCCCTCTGGGAATGGCTTAGTTGTATAGCTATGGAAGGGGGGTTTTCAAAGGATTTAGGGGAGCTCATAATGAAGTTAATGTTATGGTCATTTTTTATCGGGTGGAACACAGGCCATACGGTTCTTTAGTTTGTTTCCGTTTGCTATGATCCTTCTTATATCTACTAGAGAATTTCGCTCCCAGGGATGCTTCTCTGTGTTTATGGCTTTTGACATCTCTAGCATATTGGTGACAAGAACTAATATTAAAAGGGTATTCATTATAAAAATCAGAACAAAGTAGATTGGGCTAGATCATTAATAATCACGGAGATAATGATGGTCTGTTATGGGACCTGACAGCAAACAATACAGGCTGAAGAAAAAAAAAATTATTTAGAGTTGGGAAGCCTTTTTCTTTTCTTTTTTAAGTTTATTTATTTTAGAGAGCGAGTGAGCGAGGGGTAGAGAGAAGGAGAGAGGGAGGGAGAGAGAATCCCATGCGGGCTCTGCACTGTCAGCATGGAGCCTGAAGTGGGCTGGAGCTCACCCGAAGCGGGGCTCAAACTCTCAAACTATGAGAGCACAACCTGAGCCGAAGTTGGTCGCTTAACCGACTCAGCCTCCCAGATGCCCGTAGAACTCTTATTCTTTGAGGCTGCACTTATCTTGTGTCTCTGGAACAGAAGTTTCAGGCCCTCGAGTGGTTCACTGGAGTCTCTGTTGTCATCTGGCACTGGTAGCGTCTCCTTCTGGGTCTCTGGTGCAGACACCTTCTTTACCATGGTGGATCTAAGGTACCACTCCCTCTAATTTTAAGGAGGGTGTGTGGTTCATAGTACTGGGTGGGGCCCTGTCCATATAGGGTATAGGTGATTCTGAGGTGCCCCACTTTTCCAAGTTTGGGGTACACCCAGTCCCCAGGGTAAAGCTTGATCTCATTGGCTAGAGGGAGGCCAAAATTCCCGTATTTGTTGAGCATGTCCATCACCTGTCGGGGATTAAGTATATGCTTAGTGTCTACAGAAACCTCTGGGTCTGGAGGTAAAAAAAAAATCAGAACCTTTTGGGAAGGGCCTCTTGTAAGTCATTTCAAATGGGCTGAGCTTTAGTTTGTCCTTTGGGGCAGCTCTCATTCTGGTGAGAGCTATTGGTAGTATCTTTAGCCAGTTTTCCTGTGTTTCCTGGCATAACTTTGCCAGGGTGTTTTTCGGGGTTCTGTCAGCACATTCTGTCTTCCTAGAAGACTCAAGTCTCCAAGCAGATTGTCACCTCCACTTGATATTTAAGGTCTTGGCTATCTCAGAAATAATTATTGATGTAAACGTTGACCTGTTATTACTTCGGATTGACCTTGGCAATCCAAATCGAGGAATTATCTCTTATTACGGCCTTTCTTATTTCATTAGCTTTTTCTTTCCTACAGGAAAAGGTGTCAGTCCATCCAGTGAATGTATCTATAAACTCCAAAAGGCATTTAAACCCTCCAGGGGCCATTGGCATTACAGTGAAGTCTGCTTGCCACGCCTCCCCTGGTATTGTCCCCCAGATTTGAGTTGCTCTAACCAGAGGGAGTACCTAAGGTCTGGTTTGTACATTTTGTCCAGCAATAGGCACATTGGTTTGTTATTTTCTCAATAGTTTCTTTCACCTTCAGGATGCTCATGATCTTTATTAACCACAGGTATAAAGCTCCTTTACCATAATGGGTTGAGTCGTGTGCACTCTTAGGGAGGCCCCAGGCAGTCAGCTTGGGTACCCAGATTCTTCCATTGTTATTTATCATCCACCCTCTGATTAAGAGACCATTGGTAGCCCAATTTTAAGCCTCCTCTATCTCCTGGGGGTAGGTGGAGAAAACTTATTTAGTGATAGAGACAGAATTAGAGCTAGCTGCAAAATCTCCCTACTTGGCAACCCTTTTTGCGGCTGCATCAGCCAAGTTATTTCCCTTTGTTATCTCTGAATTTCCCTTTGGATGGGTTCTACAATGAACCACTGCCGCTTCTTTAGGCTTCTGTACAGCTTCGAGCCACCTGTACATTTCCTTCCATATTGAATTTCTCTGTGGTTGCTGTAGTCCTCTTTCCCTGCATGTGGCTCCATGGACATGCATTATAGAGAAGGCATATTTAGAATCAGTGTAAATGGTTAACACCTTGTCTTTACCCAACTGGAATGCTCTGGTTAGTGCGGTTACTGCTGCTGCCGTTTGGGCTGAGGTGCCTGGGCCCAGGCCTTTAGCTTCTCTAGGAGGGTTTAAGGGTACTACTGCATGTCCTGCCTTCCTAGTCCATTTTGTGTAAAACTGATTTCTTCTGCACTGGATAGACAGGTTCACTCTTGAGATCTTTGTGGCTAGAGTAAACTTGATCAAACACTTATGGACAATCATGGATAATCATCATCAGAGAGTAGGGTGGCTGGATTTAAGGTGTGACATGGCCTCAGTTGTGTCTGGGGGGCATCTCTCAGCATGGCCTGATATCACAGCATTGTGTTTTGGGACAGCCACTGATACATCCCTTGCTTTCCAGTAAAGTAGAAACCTGTCGTGGGGTCCGAACAGCCATAGGTTGGCACGTAGTTTTTCTTCTTTTATCAAGATACACTGCTACAGCTCTTAGGCAAGGGGGCCAACCCTTGGCCATCATGTCCAATTGCTTAGAAAAATATGCCACTGCTCTTTTTACAGGCCCCAGCATTTGTTTTAATATCCCTACAGTTGCCTCTCATTAACATGCAAATCAAATGGCTTAAGATCCGGCAGCGTGAAGGCTGGAGCCTTCCTAAGCAGGGCTTTAAGTTTATTGAAGTCTTGGCCCCAGGACTTAGCGCTTGCAGACGAATCTGTTTCAGATTCCCAAAGCTTATTACTAAGAGGTTTTGCAGTCATCCCCAAAGCAGGACTCCAAACACAGCAAAAGCCAGCCATTGCCAAAGACTTGTGCAGTTGTGGGCGGGTTTTTGGTGGGGCTAGCTGACATACTACTGTTTTTCTGTCTTGGAGGAGGCTTCGCTGTCAGGTTCCTTAGAAATTTGGGCCTTTTCCTTTGAGACCATATACCACGTCTGCCAGGAAATTTAACATGGATCAACTGTTTTTGTCAGAAACTTTCTGGGTGGCATTAGTTATTGAAATATCATCTGCATATTATAGTACAGTGCTGTTTTTCTAAATTTAACTCTCTTAAATCTTGTCCCAGAATTTTCCCAAAGATGGTGGGGGAAGAGTTCAGCAGTACTGTTGTGTTTGATGGGAGCCAGGATCTTCCCACTCAAAAGCAGATAGTTCTTGGAATTTAGGATCTAGTGGGATGCAGAAAAAGGCACCCTTTAGACCTGACGCTGTAACATTTGCTGTTACTCAGTAAGTTGGTCAGTAGAGTATAGGGATTGGGTACTATAGGATGTATGTCTCAAACAGCTTCATTGACAACTCTGAGGTCTTGAATAAATCTGTATTCCCTACTTCTGGCTTTTTAATAGGTAAAATTGGGGTGTTACCTAGGGATCTACATGGTCTAATCAACCCCTGTGTTAAGAAGATCCCTTGTATAGCATCTGGTTTTAAAGGGTATTGCCTTACCTGGGGCCGGCAATCTAGCTGTCTCAATTTTACTTTTACAGATGGGGCGTTAATGGCATGCCCCCACCTGCCCTTACACCCAGACTTTTCCAGTTGACTTGGCTTAAGGTTTTTTTGGGGGTGGTGGTGGTGGGGTTTTTCTCTCTTTTAAATACTGGCATATGTTGTAATAATGCCATGAATTCGGTTCCTTGGTATCTAGGGAGTTGAATTTGTAATTTGCCCTGTCCTGAACTTAGAGTGACCCCTGTTTTGGCTAAAATATCTCATCCTAAAAGAAGACTGGGACATTCTGGCACAGATAGAAAACAGCGTTTTAACATGTTTTGTCTTATTTCACAAGTCAAAGCCTCTAAAAACTTTGGTATCTCCTTTTCCCGAGACTCCTTTTATATTACAGTTTTTGTTAGAAAGGCTACCCTTCTGGGTGTTCAGTACAGAGAAAGTAGCTCCGGAATCAAGTAAAAATTCAACTAGCTCTCCTCCTATTGGTAAGGTCACCTGGGACTCCTCGTAGGAGATGAGGATCTAATGGTCCAAGACCAGCTGGGGAGCCCCATGGCCCTCTCATACCTTCAGTGAGGGACAAGTGAACTGATTCAGCTTTGTGCTTCTTCCTTTCTTTCCAAGAACAGTCTGAGCAATCCTGCTTCCAGTACCCTTCCTGCTTACAGTGTGCACATTGATTGGACCCCAACTTTGTTTCTGGTCTCTTGGTCCCGCGGAGGGGGCTGGGAGCACTCACCCTTGGGGTGTCTTTCCTTCTCTTCCTGTAGGCCGGAGAGCTACCATCAAAGGAGACCTTGCTTTCTCATTTTCTGGTCTTAACGTCTTCCATCACATTCTTTCTATTGAACACCTCGAAAGCTAGTTCTAGAAGCTGAGGGGTTAGTTTTGAGACTCACTGCCAAATTCTGGAGTTTCCTTTGAATGTCTGGAGCAGGTTGAGGTATGAACTAGGTTATTAAGGACCATATAAACTATGCTGAGTCTCGGGGTCCCAGTTTGTATTTCATCTTGAGCAATTTTGCAGCCTTTCCGTAAAGGCTAATGAATTCTCATCTGTCCCGTGTTGAATCTCCCTTAAATTTAAGGGACCAATTTATACGAGATATGCTTATCTCCTTCATAGCTTTTTATAAATATAATTTATTGTCAAATTGGCTTACATACAACACCCAGTGCTCATCCCAACAAGTGCCCTCCTCAATGCCCATCACCCATTTTCCCTTCTCCCCCAGCCCCCATCAACCCTGTTTGTTCTCAGTATTTAAGAGTCTCTTATGGTTTGCCTGCCTCCCTCCCTCTCTGCTTGTAACTTTTTCTTTTTTCTTTCTTTCTTTTTTTTTGTCCCTTCCCTTCTCCCATGGTCTTCTGTTAAGTGTCTCAAGATCCACATATGAGTGAAAACATAGGATATCTGTCTTTCTCTGACTGACTTATTTCACTTAGCATAATATCCTCCAGTTCCATCCACGTTGCTGCAAATGGCATGATTTTATTCTTCCTCATTGCCAAGTAGTATTCCATTGTATATATAAACCACATCATCTTTAACCATTCATTAGTTGATGGACATTTACGCTCTTTCCATAATTTGGCTATTGTTGAAAGTGCTGCTATAAACATTGGGGTACCTGTGCCCCTATGCACCAGCACTCCTCCATAGCTTTTAAGAAAAGCCCTGATATGCCCTAAACTTTGTCTCCCATCATGGGAGTGGGGATCCCACTCAGGGTCAGCTCTTACCACTGCTGCCTCGTTCGGTCTTTGAGGATTTGATCCTGGCTGATTATCAGCTTCTTGTCTGGCTTATGCTAACAAAGCAAATTTCTCTCGTTAAGACGGTGGTTAGCAAAGCTTGAATATCTGCCTACATTGGATTGTTGGTAGAAAAGACACCCTGCATTAACTTTGTAAATTAATCAGGTTAGCCCATAGCCCTTTAGTGTGTGCCTTCCAGTAATACAGGTCTGAGGTAAAGAATGGAATGTGGACATTATAGAGACTCCTGTCTCTTTCAGACTCCCATCGGTCTCTGTCTGTCTCAATGGAAACATCCCATCCCTGGCTTAAAATTGATCCCTAGTCTGGTAGTGCTATCTGGCAAAGGAGGATAAAGGGATACAGGAGACATAGGGGAAGGTTTGAGGATGTTAGTCAAGGTTTAAGGGCTGGTGCTTATAAAACTGGGGGAGCCAAGGCCTGAGTACCAGAGGAATAAGGCAGAGGCTGATTACGATCTAACGACTTGGAGAAGATGGCAATCTGGGCAAAGATTCCCTGACTTTAGGTTTTCTGGAGCAGGTCTTCTCCATCAGAGGATATAGGAAGCATTTTTAGGGTTTTAGGTTCAACCGTCATTTTCCAAATCTTAGAATTCCTTTGCAACCCCACATTTTGATACAATGCCATAAAACACTGACCATATGAAATCTCTTCCCATTTTCTCTCTTTTACAGAATAAGCTCAGAAGAAAGTCCTATGTTTTCAGGTTAAGGGAGGGTATTTGAATAAATGCTTTCTATTTCTGGAGGTTATAGCCCAACGGCCTCTCCTTCAGAATAGAATTCATCCCTCCCATATTCTGGGATTCTTTCTTAGGGTTTCCTCTTACCCTCCACAAAGTAATTTATAATGGTTAGTGGTGACACAAATGCCACGCAACCTCACCCACAATATGTATGAGACTCGGTTGACTTAAAACCAGGCTCACAAGGAGAGAAAGTTAATGCTAAGGCGTCTAAGTGGGTGTGGGTAGTTGTGCCTTACAGAGTAGTGGCTGGGGCACAGGCTGCCTCTTCCATCCCCTCAGTGTCCAGGTGGTCCCAAAGGATTTATTGGCAGAGTGACTCAGGGAGAACCTGGTTTAGATTCAATAACTCAAGGCACACTTCCCTTTTTAAGAGGAAAAACAGCAGTACACGTGTCCCCAACAGACAGATCAAACAGGTCAAACGGGTAAGATGGAGATATCCTTTACCATGACTGATTCTAGACTAGTCTCAGTTGGGCCACTTTCTCATTTGCCAGGCTGAGGCACTCAGTCTCTGAGTGGCCAGGTCTTGTCCTGTGCCACTCAGGGATGTCTGCACCTGACTCTAATTGAGTGTTCAGTCCCCCAGAGTGTTTACTGGAGAGGCCCTGTTCTTAACTGACTGCCGGCCTGCCAGGCTTTGTGAGACAACTCAAAGAAGATATTCTTCTAGTCACACCATAGGATCCATACCACCTACCTACCTCTGTGGAGAGATTTCAGAGCAAGGGGCTCAGGGCAGCCACAGTTCCTTCAAGGGGTCAGCAGCATCAGTCCAGAGGCACAGACCGCACAAAGGGAGAGTCCCCTCCAAGAATTCCTCTCCCAGTCCCCAGTGTGGATGCGTGAGCCTGGATGAACCGCTGCCAACTGCTCCATCGGTGGGGAACCAGGTAAGCAGACGACAGGACCTCAGAAGGACAACAGTCCCATCTGCATTGCCAGATTTGTAACCCAAGTAACAAGAGTTTGCTCCTTGGTGTGTCCCAGATAGAAACTACATCAGGTGGAGTTGTTGCACAAAGAGGGTCATGGCGAGTGACTTCCAAAACCTGACTTCCCGAGCAAGGGTAAATGGGTTCCTCTGTTTGGGAATAGGATGAATATTTAGATAGGGAAGCCTCGTCCGCCACAGCTCACACACACACACACACACACACACACACACACACACACACACACTCACACACACACTCACACTCTCACTCTCTCGCATGCGCACGTACTTTCACTTAAATAAACTTTCCCACTGTGTTGTGTCTGTCCTTGAGTTCTTTCTTGTGATGAGACCAAGAACCTTCGGTGGCATCTTTGGGAGGGCTCTGGGGTCAAGGCTCCATGGCCCAGGATCTCCTCAGTTCACCCAGCAGCAATTTCTATATACCCCATGTTAATTTTCCCTATTTTTAACATCTTACGTAAGTGTGGTACATTTGTCCCAATTAATAAGCCAATAAAGTCTGTATTTTCTCAGTTTTTCTGTAATGTTCTTTGTTCTGTGTTCCTTTCTAGGATACTGTACTACATTTAGTAGTCTTATCTGCTTAAGAGCCTCATGGCTGTGATCAGTTTCAAAACTCTCACTTCCTAATTAATTTCCTTCCTTTTACTCATATCTCAGTTCTCTAGGCTATTTATCTATCAGTATGGTAAAAATACTATATTTCTTCCCAACTCTATGCAGTGACATCATGTGGGTAGTTTGAAATTGGCCATGGCAGGAGTATTTATGCCTCCAAAATTGGCAAAAAAGTCAGAGCTTTTTTAAAAAAATTATTTATTTTTTTGAGAGCCTGTTATTCGATATTTTCCTCTGTTGGCACTACCTCTATGTGGCCGTCTCTTTTCAGGAGCCAATAGGACAGTGTCCCATAGGAAGGCATTTTACCCACTGGTGTACAGAGTATTTGTAGGCAGGTAAATCCAGGAGCTGTAGGGGAGGCAAGATGTAGGGGAGTCATTTATGACTCATCTCTGTTTTGTTATTTCTCAGTTGTATCTGCACAGGACTCTATGCTTTTGTAAGAACGGCAGAAAATGGACAAATCCCAGGTGAGTTGTTTTTTATTATTATTTCCTACTTTGTTTACATTAGATCTTCTGAATAAGGTATAACCATTAAGATGTAAATGTAGAAATAGGTACATGTCAACTTAGGAGGAAATATGGAGGAGCAGATTAGTAGCAGAGCTAAGGGCACAGTGTGGCAGTAACCTTCAAGTGCTTGAAGTTTTTATGCTGAGCTCTACATTTGTCTTGGATAGCAGTAGCAACCATTACTATAGGAAGTAGCAAACATTATTACAGGAAGTGCAATGAAAATAAGAATAAACCATAATGATTCTTAATGGGACATAAAGACTGTCCTGAAACTGAAGTCTGAGAACATGGTAGAAAGAGAGGACACATTGCCAAAGCATAGCTGGTTTAGATTATCAAGAGATCATACTACTCAGATCTAAACAATGAGCTGTTCATGGTCCACTCAAATCTGGGATAAAACCTTCTAGTATCTTGAGAAGTGTTGAAGGGCAATAGAAATAATTTACTGTAACTCTTCATGAAAATGGTTTTGGTTTTTGTTTAGAATTTCATGTGCTGGTTTTCAGCAGGAAGTTCAAATTATATTCCCTGGAAAATATTTCTGCACATCATGTTTCCATTTTAACCCATTGCATGCAATTTTGGTTCTTTCCCACCACCTGCCTGAATTTGTTCTGGTGAAAATTCACCAGTGAATGTGATCTTACTGCTTGGCAACATTTCTTCTTTTCCAATAAAGCATTTAATATTTTAAATTTCCATCTAAGCACTACTTTAATTGCATCTCACAAGTTTTTGTAAGTTGTGTTTTCACCTTGATTCCACGTAAAATATTTTCTATTTCCTTTGAAACTTCTGTTCAACCCTGGGGTTATGTAGAATTGTGTTGTTTAATTCCCAAGTAATTGGAGATATCCAGAGATTTTTCTGTTACAGATTACTAGTTTGGCCAACAAACATAATATGTATGATTTCCTTCCTTGTAATTTCATCGAGATTTGTTTTATGTCCCAGAATACAGTCTATTTTGATGACTATCCCACTTGTGCTTAAAAATAAAAGTATATTCTACAGTTGTGGGGTGGCATGTTTGGTAAATGTCACTTAGGTTTAGTTAAGTGATGGTGTTGTTTAGGTCTTCTGTAGTCTTTCCAATTACCTCTTTACTTCTGTTAATTACTGAGAGAAATATTGAAGTCTCCGACTGTATTACTCTGTTTCTCCTTTCAGTCTTATAAGTGTTTACCTCATATTTTGAAGATCCTTTGATAGGTGATATATATTTGATTTTGTCTGGGAAAATTGACCCTTTATCATTAAAGTAATGTGCCTACTTATTTTGATAATATCTCATATAGTCTCTTTTGTCTGATATTAACATAGCTACTCCAGCTTTCTTTGGATTATTGTTTGTGTTGTATTTCTCCATTTATCTTTTTTTTTAAAAAGTTTTTTAATGTTTATTTATTTTTGAGGGAGAGAGTGAGAGCGTGAGTGGGGTAGGGCCAGAGAGAGGGAGACACAGAATTGGAAGGAGGCTCCCAGCTCTGAGCTGTCAACACAGAGCCCAATGTGGGGCTCAAACCATGAACCGTGAGAACATGACCTGAGCCGAAGTCGGACGCCCAACCGACTGAGCCACCCAGGCGCCCCATCCATTTATCTTTAATGTATGTATTTTTATAGGTAAAGTTGAGTTTCTTCTAGACAGTATGTAATTTGTCCTACTTGTTTTAAAATCCAATCTGACAATCCAGATGTAATATTGGCGTCTGGCTGCGTTTAAACCATAAGTCAGAGGTCGTTCTCCTCGTGGAGTTCTCATGTCGATAGGGGATGATTCTCTTTCTTAAAAAAAAAAAAAAAAAAAAAAAAGACATTTCCCACATTCGTTACATTGGCAGGTAAGCGGTTTTCCCGTGAATTCTCTTCGATGACATCGACTGTCGATGGAAAGTTTTACCGGATCACATTACACTGAAAGGCTTTCCGTGTGAGATGTACGTTAACTTCGACTGCCGGTAGAAAGCCACTACATTCATACATTGAAAGCGCTGTGTGGAGCCTGATGCAATGTTAACGTCCGCCTGTTGATAGAAAGTTTTACCATTACCGGATGACATTAGCAATAACGTCTGACTGCCGGTAGAAAGTTTTTCATCTTACATCGGGAAAGCAAGTCGCAGTAAAATTGGATGAACACAATCGCTCGCCTGCCTAAGTGGAAAAAAGATTTTGCACGCCATTACTTGCTGCGCAGCTGAAGGGTTTCTCTCCCGTGTGAGTTCTCTATGTCAAACGTGCATGCACTGCCTGACTGCTACACACAAAGTTTTACCACACTGATTACACTGAAAGCTGCTTTCTCCTCAGTGAATTGATGTGCATTAACATCTGACTGTCGATGCTTCACCACACTTGTTGGCAGTGAAAGTGGTTTTCTCTCCTGTGTGATTCTCTGATGTATTAATGTCTGATTGCCACACGAGTTTTACCACATTTGCTACATTGAAAATGCTTTTCTCCCCTTGTGTGTGCATCCTCTGATGTCTTTATGTCTGACTGCCTAGCCAGAAAGTTTTACTGTCTTCATTACACTGAGCTGCTTTCCTCCTAGAGTTCTGATGCTGGAGTTAAGGTAAGTTTTTCCATCTTTCGGCTACATTCATGGGGCTTCCCCTGGTAGGGCGTTCTCCTCCTCCTCTGTAGAATGAGGATGACTTCTCTTGTAAAGGACTCCACATTCACTACATGATGAGAAGTTTTCTCCCCTGTATGTGTCCTCCAATGGTGGAACTGATTTTGTGATTCTGGTCTTCCCACGTGAATTAAGCTGACAGCTTTCTCTGTGTGTTCTCTGGATGCCTGTGAGATTGTAGTTGAATCGTTTGCCCACACTTATTACATTTGAATATTTAATCAATCAGCTTCTGGCTTTCTTCTGGAACTGAGTTTTAGTGTGACATCTACTGAAATTATTTTCCATTTGATTGCTTTGGATTGTTTTATGCAAGTATTTCTGTAGACCCATGACATTTCAACAGAGACAGGTAGACCTCACTTCCCCATGTTCCTTATATATTCATAGAGTTTCTCTCCATGTCATTTTTGCTCAAAATTATTATGGTCTTTTCTCCTAAGGTTTTCCATCATCATTATATTTAAAGTCTCCTCTGAAGTCTGAGTATTTAGGTGCCGAGAAGGTCAATAACACATTTTGGTGGCCAAAGGTTTTCTCATTTGATACATATTTTCACAAGAAATCTCATGAGTGTTTTCCTGCTTAATATCAAGTAATTTCTCATACATTTAAAAATGCCATGTCTTTTTTTTTCTTGAAGAATTTTCTATTACTACCAATTGATTTAAAATATTTTTTCAAACTCACCCATGCGTGTCGGCCACAGGAGACATTTTTCAGAAGGAACAAAAGTTTGAACAGATGGTTTTCAAAGCATGAACTTTTTTCTGAGGCCAGGTTTTATCAAATGCAACTTGTGGCAAATATTTGTCTTGGTTTTCCTGATCTTCCTTGTTAGGTAATGAGCTTGTTGTCTTCTAGAAATGAAAATATTGAACAGACCATATGATTACTTCAAGCGTCTTCCCATGGAACTGGATTAAGATACACAAATGTTCTATTATATACTTGACTTTGGTTTTGGTAGTCTCTTAGGATCAAAGTGTCTTTTTCCCATCTAGTTCAGAAAAACTTAAGTGGAAAAGGAGAAGTTATTAACACAAGCGATGAAAGAACAACAGCTTTCTATCTTTATAACAAAAACAGATGAAAAACAAATAGAAATGAAAAGACATAAATGCAATTAGCAGTGTACAGAAGATGGAAGATGGCAATGAAAGAGATCCAGTAGGAGAAAAGTCACAGAAAATAAGATGGGTCCAACCGCTAATAAAAAGTAATTGAGTGACAAGAAAAACCAGTAGACAAAGGTGTTCAGAGGGAAAACATGGTAGAGAGGACATGAGAGAAACTGCTAGAGTAGGACTCATACTTTCAAACCTATATTGGCTCTAGTAATATATCTAAATAAATAAAGTTTTCATTCTTCAGCTAGTTTCTCCTATGTGCATTAGCAAGGTAAATTGCCGGAATGAGCCAACTGCTGATGTTTAAGTGTCTCATTCCCAAAATGTCAGCTTTTCACTCAAAACCAAATCTCACCAAGAGAACATCCATATGTACACAAAATACAATAACCAATGAGAAAGTATATAAACAATGACATTAAGAATCTGTGCCGCCATATAGACTGGATACTCCTGTTTTTGCCTCTGATACCTTCATATCGGCTTCTGTTTGGAGCTATCTTTAATAGGTGAACCTACCATTAGATGGGTTATCATTTATGCTCACTTGTTTTTCCCAAACAACACTGCTTGTGCCAAAATATTTAATTTTGTTTTTTACAGTTCACAGCTCACATTTTCCAAGAGCTTTCTATTTATTATCAAAATTTATGATCATATTCAACCAAATCCCAGAAAATGAGTAATGCTTATTGCTAGATTTATCGCTTTAAAGTATTAATCATATTTCTGCCCAGTGCAACAAAGTCTGCCCCGAAGCTGAAAAGTGCCACTGGCCTGAAGCATATGTAAAATTACATGGAAAACTGTTACAAGTCAAGCCATTCTAGACAAACAAAGTATACCAACTAAATGCACATCTCCATCAGTAGACTTTTGTTGTTGTTGTTAATGTTTATTCCTTTTGAGAGAGATGCCTGTGTGAGTAGGGGCGTGGCAGAGAGAGGGGGATGAGGGACTGGGCAGGCTCGAGCTGACAGCAGGCAGGCAGGCTCTGATGCATGGCTCCTAAGTCATGAACTGTGAGATTCATGACCTGAGCCAAA